CAGCAATTTTGATACCATAAAAAAACACACAGCAATTCCCACTGCGAGTGTATGGGTGTGTGAGTGTGTGTTAAAAGCTTTATGTGGATTATGTTTTTATGGCGCCTGCCACAGCAATAGAGTCGCTTGGTCTTCGTAAACAGCGAATTCTAAATACATATGTATCCGCATATAAGTAGTTACCCGGCATTTGCTGACCGCGTCGGTTCAGCTTAGCCCGAGACTTAAATCAGTTTTTTTTGTGCTTAATTCTCCGCCGACCTTACAATGAAACCATTTTGTTGCTTCTTTACCAAGCCTTATTTATGAACGCGTCCAGCCAACTGGTTAGCCAACAAAATTCCCGTTAGCCCAAATTGGCCAGCAGCTGATAGTTTAACTGCAATATGATAATAATGTCAGACATGCTTTTAATATTTCAACCCCAGGCATGCCCGAAATGCAGCTCTTTGTAAGATTGCTCTTGCAGGGAGTGTTCAACTAAGAGATACCCTAAGCTAGCATCCTATAAATATACACGATAGCACTTTTGCTTCGGCTTCACGTTGTCCACACCGCGTATGAGAAATGCTTTTGCTTGGAGTTCATAGTCCGAACCTTTATAAATTTTGTGTATATATCAAATCGCAAGGCCCTTACTAAAAAATAGAGTTATTTTTTCAAAACTTCATTTCCAAGTCTCTAGCTCTTAGTTATCGACAGTTCGACAGCTCGCCGACATGATTAAGAAAAATAATTATAAATAAATACTTAATTATACATTTCCACCAAAATGTTATGCACATTTTACCCATTTTCAATAGGTTGGGAGCAAAAAATAATTGTTAAGAAAGTGTTGGCAAAAGAAAACATCTTCGATCCCATAAATAAAATACATATGCACATTCTGCATCAAATTCGACTGAGAATAAATATATTTACCGTTTTGGTTAACTTCCTTTTATCTATAACGATAATAAAAATGGATTTCCATGACCACCAAAGTTGATACAGGCTGCTTGCCTGATGCTGGTAAAAGGCTAAAGGTAAATATGTTGACTGATTCAAATGACTATCGAACTGGATAATATTAAAAAAAAAGAGATTGTAGGTTGTACACCCAAATTACTGGAACAGAAGAGCACAGTATTCACCAAACATATATCGTAATGAAATTTGACAAGCTTTAACATAGCATGGACAGCTTGTTTAAATTTGATATTAATATTTTCGGTCAATTTCTTCAGAAATCACAGTTGATGTGGTTTAATTTGTGCAATGGGTTTATGTGGCTCGACGAAAATAAATTGCACCACTGCCAACTTTCACTGATTTGCTCGCACATTTTCTGGCAAAACGTAGCTTTTAATATTTCAGACAAAGTTAAGCCATCTGTGAGGGAATCGCATCAGTCTACCTCGGATTTTGTTAGTCAGCGATATGATTGAGTCCGTCATTTTAAAAATAAACTGAAAATAATATTGAAACAAAAACATATGTTTTTGATGTATCAATTTGATGCGTATGATATTTGGTACTGCATTCAAAATAAAATACATTCTAAATAAATTTTTCACTATTTAATCCTCATTTCGCCCATTTGAGTAGAGTTTACATAACAATTTTCCACATCTTTAAGTTCTTGATGAGTTGACGGGGGAATGTGAAGTATTTTAAAAAAGCTGATTACACTTCGCATTTGCGTAAATAATTTAAATAAAACATAGCATCCAGCATTGGCACAAGCTATAGAAAATCTAGATATATGAATATGAATAGATAAATTCATATAAAATATTCTATGGCAAGTGGTATTCCTCATTGTGCATCTTCCAAATCTGATTCCCTCAAGCTCATTTATTGCCATTTGACTTTATCTCTCATTGAAATTCTTTGTTTCGTTTACGCCGTTAGCTTAAAAGTGTTTCTCTTTCTTTATTCAAATCCATGCTTGCCGCAACTTTTTCAGTTTTTGATACTTTGTACCTATTAAAAATTAATCAAAGGGGCCTTTTTATTTGTTGCAAATGTGTTTCGTAAGTTTGACCGTACAAAGCATATTTATTATTGATCAGCATCTAAAGTGGAACCATATGCCTCCGGTTGTCTGAAAATGTAGATTGTTCCCAGAGGCTATAAGTAGATCCTTAAATACTATTCGAAGATTCAGTTGATCTTATATCCTATATAATTCTCTTCCATTTGCAATTAGAAATATGGATTTTTGATTGCACTTTCAGCCACCTTTTGACCATAGCTTCTTCTGTAGCAAACGCAAATCAAGTTGCTTTTAAATTACTGAGAACTTTTCCCGTTTTCCTTGATGCTAAACATCTACATGATCTAAAAAGTTAATTTTAAAGGGCTGGAAAATTGTGGAACTGGTTCAATTAAAATCTATATAAATTAATGCAGTACAATATCTCACAGGTTTCAGAATATCCAAACAACCATCAGTAAATGCATCAAAATTCTAATTACAGCTTGTCTGTTATTATACCCTGAACCCATTAAAATGGGTAAAAGGGTAAAATGTATTGGTGCATGTATGTTATGTAAATGTATGTAACAGGCAGAAGGAAGTATATATATTTATGATCGGCATCAACAGCCGAGTCGATCTAGCCATGTCCGTCTGTCTGTCCGTCCGTCCGTCCGTCCGTCCGTCCTTATGTATGAACGCAAGGATCTCAGAACCTATAAGAGCTAGAGACTTTAAATTTTGAATGTAGGTTCTCCTAGTGTCTGCACAGTTTGTTTCCGATAATCGATAACTTGCCCCGTTTCCGAGCAATCAATAAAAATCATTATCGAAATCCAGGTTTTGAGCATATCTCTTGTTTTTAGAGCAAGAGTCACCAAACTTGACATGTAGCTTCTTGAATAGTATGTATATATCAAGTATCTTTCATTTTATAGCTATAAGCTTTAAATGGTTGATATGGCTGTTGTGTATAAACGGTGAAGAGTAGTGTGGTATGTGACGAGTCCGAGTCCTATTGAGGGAACTGTTTTTTTTTTAATTTATTTTTATTACTGTTAAAGCAAGCGAGCGCGTAGCGCGAGCTCCATTTGGTTTTGGTTGAAAGGGGTTCAGGGTATTCTCTAGTCGATAACTCCCGACTAGAGCCTCTTACTTGTTTTTGTGCTAGAGTATTTCGACTTTTGACTAAGTTGGGGTATTTTTTCATACCCTAAACCAATTAAAAAGGGGCGAAAAGGTATAATAACAGGCTGAAGAAAGCATCTCCGAACCCGCCAAACTTATATATTCGCGATCAGCACAACGAACTGAGTCGAACTAGCCATGTCGGTCCATTTGGCCGTCTGTTTCTGTGAGCCCGTCAATTTCGGAGACTACAAAATCAACGACTTGTACTTTTATTCTGCTATACTAGACAAATTGTTGTCACTTTTTTTTCAAAATATCTTTAAAAATCGATTTTGAGACATGATTTTTTAAGCATAACTCAAAAATTATTGGTGAAGCATTTTAAAGATTTCACCACTGGGATATCTTTTCCATTCCTTAAAACTATAACTAAATTAATATTTGGATAAAGCCTTACGATCTCCATGCTCGTGTGTTTACATGCAAGAATGTTTGTAAAGGTAGCTGGTCACGGGGTTCAGGGTATCTCCTAGTCGGGCACTTCCGATTAGAGAATTCTAAGTTGTTTTCTTTATTTTTTTTGCATTTGGGTTGAGGAACCTTTTAATTCGGCATTGCCCGACTTCACCTCGCCCCAATCGGGACCGCAGCATAGCCGTGGGCGCCTTTGTTGTGCCACTTTTCCCATTTGGGTTCTAGGGGCATGAACTTTTACTGGAAACCGGCAAAAAGCTCAATTATCAACTTACAGCAGACAAAAAGGCGCTTAATTAAGTGAAGCGTCAAACGTGCGCCGCCATTTTCCTTTTGGCTTCCATCTCCGTACCATACCCTAGCCGGGCACACCCCCTGCCCAATAGAATTACACGTTCTGATCGAAACAGCAGCTGCCAAATGGTATGTATGTGCGTATGTGTGTGTGTGTGTGTGTGTGTGTGTGTGTGTGTGTGTGTGGGTGTGTGTGTTTGTGTGTGTGGGTGTGTGTGTGTGTATGACGGATGAGTGTGTAATCTTAGACGTGTGTCGCTGTTAGAAGTTTTTCGCTTAGTCAGCAATTGGCTGCCTGCCTAATCTATGCAATGTACGTTGCTGCAGGGCATTGCAGGGGATGGCGGGTTGTAATGAAGAAGATGCGAACTCATTGTTGTTATTATTGTTGTTATAGTTTTCGCACACGCACTTACGACTAAAATGTATTCAAAAGATTTTCCTTGGGCATGCAAGCGAACCAAGTTGAAGGCGTGAATGATTTCCATCAAGTGTGAATGTTAACAAAAGTTTCTGAACTTCTTCCCAACAACTGCAAAACAGATTCTTAAATGCGAAGGGTTGAAGCCCGCACGCTTTCTGAGTTAACCTAATTTAATAATAATAAAACCACATAAGGTAAGCAAAAAGTTTAACATTTGCAAAAAGTTTGTGATTATTATATAATTGTTAAAATTCAGATGTTATTTATAATTAAATTGGATCATTTCTCATATTCCATTAATTATTATGAGAGTAACAGTTTCAACAATACAATATATAAATTTTATCATATTATAGCTATAGGAGTAAAGTATTATGGTCATATGAAGACTTGTTATATTATTATTATATAAAAGACATTAATTAATTATTATTATTACTATTATTATAATTATTATTATTATTATTATGATTATTATTATTATTATTATCATAATTATTATTTTTGTATTATTATTATTGGCAGTGTGAGATGAAAAGGGCATTTTCCCGCTTAGACCAAAAAACAACTTATTACTTTCAATTATATTATAATTATTTTTCTTACAATCTCTTCTTTATTTTCTGTACTCTTGCGTTGCAATAAATAAATGAATCGATTCGGTCAGATTTTGATAACATATACAAATTTCCAAATATAATTCAATTTCTTACATACCAAGCACTTTTTTTTCACAATCTGGCTAAATCTCACATTCCATCAACAGGTTAATGCAGAGGTGTCTACTGTGTTCTTCGTACAACTCAAATGAGTTTGATTTTACTCGGATGGCGGCTATACAATATAGTGATTCGATTTGACCGTTTTCAACATAAATATGTTCTGTCTGGAAAAGAAAGAAGAAAGAAGAATATGAAATGTTTCCTCAAGACCGCTTCTAAATTAGTTTGCAGTGAATTAGCCGGAAAGCACAACAGCCACAACCTTAGATATAAAGGAGTGGATAATCAAAAAACAGTAAAACATGTCAAACAATTTCAATTAATATATGAAGTAGCAAGTATATCCACTCTCATTTCACAAAATGCCTTTCTTATTTCCCTATCTTAAATTGAATCAGAAAGACAACTAGTGTTTTAAATTTAGCTTTCAGTCAACACAAACAGTTTTAAATATTGTGTATAGACAGGGGGATCATATGTCCAAAGAATGACAGTCAAACAGCCTTGTAGAATTTTGGATTACGGTTATGCTGATATGATGAGTTTGGCTAAGCTATTTATTCCACATAAAAATTCTTATTTCCACCGATCGTTTCCATAGCGCTATCAAATAGTTACTATAAGATATAGCTTACCTATAAAAGCACAGAAAAAAAATTTGATTTCGTTACGTTATCTAAAAATGAAAAAAAGGTGGTTCAATAACTTAATTTTCACTGATTGTTTCCAAGGCTAGTTTGCACATAAACAGATAGGCAGACGGACACTCAAACACAGGTATATCGACTGTCGATAATAATCACGAATTTATATACTTTGTGTTCGGAGATGTCTTCTTCCAAGCGTCACACATTTCATGGAAAGTTGTAATACCCTACACAAGGGTATGAAAACTAGATTTGTGGTGAGCGAAATATATTCCCTTCTTAATTGAAGCATAAAATTTAAAAAGCAAGCCCTCAGAAGTTATTCTATACAGAGGGCTGCAGTTAAGTACAGAGTATCTTCTATTCGAGCACTCTTGTATTTACCCATAAGCACTATGAATTTTAAGCAAGCTGAAATCACTTGGTACACACGCAAACAGGCACAAGCCCACACACCAAGCAGCTCTGTAGAAAAGCTTACATAAGTGCCTTCAAGTGGATTAAAAACATGGCAGCTACACACACATACACACTGACACGCCCACACACTAACTTATTTGCGTCTTAGTGTCTGAGCATGCGAAAAACTGAAGGGAAGTGCATTTCACCGCTTTAGGACAGTCAAGTTCCGAGCTCCAAGCTGCGAGTGCGCCAATGCACATGTACTATTATTATTGCTATTGTTATTTTGCTTAGATATTGCAGCTTTTTGTGTCACTGTAAATCGGATTTGATCACCTCCCGAGAAGGACATGCGACATGCCATAATCCTTTGTGTGAAAATCACATAATGCTGCAACACTTTATCTAGTCTGATGGTATATGTAGTTATAGCGAAAAAATTGTATCTTATTAGAAAGACATAGTCTTCTTGTTAGCTAATGTGAGCTCGCATGCCTGATTAATGAAAGGATGTGGCATTGTCTTACCAGAAGATGGCTAGTGCTATTTAGAAAGTCAGGGTGATCGCTTCTAGCTTGGGAGTGTTCGACAAACAGATTCCCTGCTTCCTAACTTCGCAGTATGCAATCGTCTTTATTTATAAAAGTTGTTCACATAATTAGACGGAGAGATAACTGGCCTCCAAGATGGACGTTGCCTACAAGCAATATACTCTGTTTCTCTTGGGCACAGAGTATGGTTACAAATTGTATTTTAAAAGTTTAATACAATTTTTTAACCTAAAATTAAGAAATTCAAGTCGCAAACTTTTGAGATTTTCATATATAAACTGAAGTATGATATCTATTCGACCTTTTGAGTATAATAAGGAAATGCAGACATAAATAAATGACAACCCTTGATGCTTGTTTCCAACTAACTATTTTTGAACAGGACGTGATGGCTGACACTTTCTGACATTTGCTCCTGTATCAACAGACAAATGAGAAGTACTCAATGTCTTAACGCCTCTCAATGGAGTTAGTCAAAGGCTTTTTGGGGGACGTTTGACGCCTTGTGTGCCAACGGCTCAGTAATAATAACTAAGGTGGCCCAAATTACAGAGGCTGAACGAAAGACACAGCCACGCCCCAAAAATGTGTCAGCCAGTCAGTCAGTCAGTCAGTTGTCTTCAACTTTCAACTTGCCACCGTCCTGCGAAGCCTTTTGTGTAATGGCTGGTAATTATCCCTAATTAGTTGTAAAATATTGTAGGGAAAGTGCTTTGGTTTGCCAAAGCGAAAGCGAAAGCCAAAATCTAGGCCTCAGCGAAATGGCAACAGGAATAAGTTTACACTGAGGCAGGTCATTAGCCAAAAGTTTTTGCCAGCTCAAAAGGATGTCCATACTTAATAATCATAATCTTAATCATAATCATGATAATTTTAGTAATGGCAATTAGTTGTTAAAGTAGATTACGACTTTAGCTGCGTGCCATGATGAATTGGCTTTCCGCTTGGACACTTGCCAACCTCCCGTTCCCATTCTCACTCGCATGCCTCTCCACCAATACCACACACACGCAAACATTACCAAATTTAATTAACTCTAAACGCATTACGCATACGCCACCGCGCACAGGATGACTTTCACTAACAAAAGCCGACCACTCGTCGAATGTAAAACTAGCCGTGTTGCCAAGCACCGGACATCAGCAAATAGTTTCTGGGTGCGTTCTGAAAACGTGTTCCACAAAGTAATTTCAACTGTATATTGCCGAATAATACGGTATATACTGTGCAACGATGTTCTTGGTTCGCATGTCAGGCCAGTCTATGTATATAGTTTTGTCCTTTCCGGAGGATTATAGTTTATTTGCTGTACTCCTATGCTTATAATAATAATAAAAAAATTACTAATAATAATCAGAATAATACTAATCATAATATTTATAAAAAATGTAATAATAATTATAATAACTTAATAATAATAGTAACTTTTATACTCATATGACATAAAATACCCAAACCCTTAGGTAAAATGATAAAGAAGCCCGATTTGAAACGGAAACGGATTGCAGATATGCTGTTGTGGTTAACATATCTGCAAAATCAAAAATGTTTCCAATATTCCGTTTTTCGACTGACTCTTTCTATTGAGCAACCCGATGTTAATAAGATGTTTCTTGCATGTGAGTAGCATGGTTGATCTAGTTAATGCTAAATTTGGTGAAGATATCCTGATAAACATTTTATGATTGAATGCCTACATAGAAACAGACAAACAGGCATGGCTACAACGACTCGGCTCTTGAAACTGGTCAACAATTTATATATATCCCTATATATACTTTTGCAATCGCAGACTTATCCATTTCTGCGTAATACTGATTGTAACAGAGTTATAATACCCTCTGCAAAGGTATACAAAGCCTTCTTGAACGTTACACTTGAATTGCAGGCCGTGACTGATACATAAAAGTTGTATATGATATAGATTTCTACCAGGTTTTTATCTATATAACAAGTGTCCGAAGGACATAAAGACGTACTTGCCGTCATATATACATAATATATACTCTCCTTTACTCTGGGAAGAATATTGAAAAATACGTGTTCTTTTTTAATTATACGTTTTCTTATTAAATAAATGTTATCTTGACATTCTAAGTAGTTAATGTGCTAATTTAGGGACCGTGAGCAGCCCAGTTATTTATTTACAATGTTTTCCATTTGTCAAGTCTTTAGCCGACCGGCTCGAGGTCAATGTTAATCATAATAACCAACAACAAGATTGAGTAGGTTATCTGTATAACTATTTTTAAAACCTCCCTGTTCTATCCTCAGCAGACTTTGCTATTAACTCTAGATTTGCAAGGACTTTTACTCAGCTCGATGCTGAAACCATTTGAGAATTATAAGCAGTAAAAAGGCGGCAAAGCTAACAAAACCAAAGCCTACTCTTGTGTGCTAATCCCTGCGGCATGTTCTGTGTTTGCGAAGCATCGTTCTTGATTAACGAATTGAAAGCTGTTCACTTAACTCGTTCTGATACTTCTATTTTAAAACTAAGCGTTTGGGAACTACTTCAATACGGCACAGATTCCCAAAAGTGTAAAAAGCGAATGATCCTTTTAGTCGTGTTGGTGGCAAGCGGTGTCATGGCACGTGGCATGTGTCAATGGCCCCCATCAGAGTCAGACTAACACTGACAACCCACACACCCAGCTAGCCCCCATCCGTGCGCTGCTCGACTGGCCACCCGCTGATTGGGTTTCAGCCAAATCATTTGCAATTTGACTAGACGTCGCGACGTTTTTTGTTTTTCAGAGTTTTAGTGGCATTTGGCTCGTTGTTTTGTTTTCTCGTTTTTTGTATTTTTGTTTTTTTGTTGTCACTTGCTCGTAAATATGTGTTAAAAACTTTTAATTCAGCTCAGCTGTGGCAGTGGGGCGCTGTGGGTACGCCCACCTTGAACGCTGCCTTGGCACCTGACAGTTTTCTTATTTATTTTATTCATTTGGCTTTGTTCTGGCCTTGCGAAAAATTACATTGTACAATGTATTGTTTATTGTTGCTGCTTTTTTAGCAAAAAAAAAAATTAAAGACGTTGTGGACTCCAGGGCTAGCAGGAGGTCTCGGGCCTGTCTTGGGATCGTTACTTGGGTCAAGTGAACTTTATCAACTTAATTTATACTCTTCGCATACACAGAAACTCATATTTTCTTTGTTTTTGTTGCACATTTTTCATTTGTTTTCCGCGGCTGCCTCTCCAACTCCAGCGCTAGCTTGAAGGCACCTCCCTCCGTTCCCGCCACCCATTCCATGAGCTCAGCTTACTTTTTGCATTTGGCCCGCGGAAAGTTTCGTGCGCGCTGTCTCTTGTTGTTCTAGTTAAAATTGTATTTGAAACTTTTGCTTAAGTGGCAAATGGTTTCGCAAACTCCAGTTTTCACTCACCTATTGTTACGGTAAGGGGCTGCTGGGGGGGGGGGGGGGGGGGGGGGGTGCGTGACAGCAGCGGCATAGGCACGTGCCATAAGCCATTTGTCAACAGCCACCTGATTGGATTCTCCATGACAGAGCACCGTTGCCTGGCCCGCAAGCCCAACAGCTGCTTCTAAAACGCTTAAAAGC